CGCGGGACCGCGCCTCGGGCCTCCGCTGCCGACGCCCGAGCCTACTTGCACCTGCCCTGGCGCCGCCGTGCCCTCTGCACCCCGAGGGCTCCTTCCTACCTTCCTGAGTCCTGGGTCCCCCTGAACCCGCAGCCGCATCCAAGCAGCCGGCCTGGGGCACCTGCACCTCCAAGACCGGGACCGACCTGGCGGGAGTGCGCCCGCGTGAGCTAACGTGCGTAACCGGCCAGGCACCTGTATCTGCCGGGCAAACAGCAGCTGCAATCAGAGGTCTTAGACGTGGCCTTTCCTGCGGGATGACAAAACAGCGTCTCCAGGATATCGATGGTCCACAGATCTTTTAAATGTAATGAACGAATGAACTCCGCACAGCACAGCACCAAAGGTTAAAGACAAAATCAAGAGAACCACTGATGGAACCCAAATATTTTCCAAACCATTTTTGTTGCTCTCTTTTATTCATATCTTCAAAGAAATAACATTTTCTTTTACTCATTTTTCTACTTTTTTGTTTTCTACTTCCTTAATTTCAACTTTCCTGTATTCTGTTTTTATCGTATTGTGAGTTTAATAGTTTATGGAATTAAATACATAGTTCCTTTTTTCAGTATTTTCAGTAATAAAGTACTAACAACAGTAAATTTTCCTCTGAGTATAGCTTTAGCTGTATGCATTAGGGTGTCACTCGACGTATAGTTTACAGACAGCAAAATGCACATATCTGAAATATACAGTTTCTGTAACCACCACCAATTCAAATACAGAACATTTCCAGCATTCCAGAGAGTTTGTCTCAGGTGGAAGAAAACAGAGGGGACCACCATTCTGACTTCCGTCACCATAGGTTAGTTTTATCTATTCTTAAACACTGTTTAAAAACAGCAAGTACTCTTTTTTTATGTCCGACATCTTTCACTCATATTTGAGAATCACTTGTGTTGTTCTGTGTATCATGCTTTTTTTGTTGTGTAGTATTTGATTCACGAACATACAATTTATTCTCCTGTCGATGGACATTTGGGTTGTTTACAGTTCGGGGGCAATTATGCATGAAGCTGCTAATTACATTTGTGTACTCATTTGTCTTTTTGTGAACTGATTTCCATATACACATAGGAGTGGAATTGTCAGGTCATAGATTAGCAGTATGTTTTTATAAGATCTGCAAAACAGCTTTCCAAAGTGCCTCTACCACTTTATGCTCCACCAGCAACATGAGAGTCACAAGTGTGCCACACCCTCACAACACCTGGTACTGTCAGTCTTTTTAAATTTAGCCTCTCTGGTGGGTGTGCAGTGATCTCTCTTTGTGGTTAATTCCTGCATGTCTTTAACAGGTAGTGATGCTGAAGCACCTTACTGACCATTTGGATGTCTTCTTTGTAAAGTGCCTGTTGACAGGCACTAAATTGGCTTGTTTGATGTATAGGACTTCCTTATGTCTGGGTGTGAGTTCTCTGCCAGACATACATATTTAAGACATATTCTCCCAGTCATGGCTTTCCTTTTCACTTCAATATCTTTTGATGAGTGGAAATTTTTAATTTTGATACGGTATTTTCTTCTGAGAAAATTCATCTTGTGAATTATTTTGTGGTTAGTGTTTTTCATGTCATGTTTAAAAAAAAATAGTGCCTACCCTAAAGGTCATGAAGATTTTCTCTTATCTTTTCTTCTAGAAGCTTTACAGTTTGCGCTTTCATACTTCAGTCTATGATCCGACTCATTTATTTTGCATATAGTGTGAGGTAGAGGCCAGGTTCTTTTTTTTTCCCTCCGTATTGATATCCTGTGGTCTGTCTCAATCCTCTGTTCTGTTCCATTGATCTACTTACTTATCCTTACAACAAAACCATTCTGTCTTAATTACTTTGCTTAATTACTTAATCTTGGGATCAGAGTAAGTCCTCCAGATTTGTTCTTCTTCAAAGCCAATTGTCTTGGCTTTTCTAAGTCCTACTTATTTCCATAGAAAGTATAGAATCAGCTGTTAATTTCTACAAAAAAGTCTGTTATGCTTTCTATGTTATCAACCATATTCCTGTGAAAATCCCTCAGTTCCTCCAATTTAATATTCCTAACTTCATTCCTTTAATTTTCATTATTTTACTACTACTATTCTGAGAGCTAGAGCAACTAATATTTTTCATATTATTCTGGTTACTCCTTGATTGAATCAAGTCAATTCATTCCTAGAGTCAGACTATTCCAAGAATATACCTTTTTAATCATCTTCTTTGGTTTTGGGTGTGCAATAACTTTTTCTCCACCTCGACTTAATGGTATAATGTCTTTAAAATAAAATTCTAGTTCATGTTTTTCATTTTTTTGTTGTTATATTCATTCACTTATTTTACTTTTTATTTCTGTGAAAAATGTCCTGGGTGATTTGATAGGGATCGCATTAAATATGTAGATTGCTTTGAGTAGTATGGCCATTTTAACAATATTAATTCTTCCAATCCAAGAGCATGGGATATCTTTCCATTTCTTTAAATCATCTTTAATTTATCAATGTTTCATAGTTCTCAGCATATAAGTCTTTCACCTCCTGGTCAGGCTTGTTCCTAAGTATTTTTTTAATGTGACTGTTTTAAATTCCATATATAAGTGATAATATACAGTATTTGTCTCTCTTTGCCTGGCTTATTTCACTGGTATAATACCCTCAAGGTCCATCTGTGTTGTTGCAATTGGCGAAATTTCATTTTTTATGGCTGAGTTGTATTCCACTGTAAATATACACCATATCTTCTCTATCCATTTATCTATTGATGGGCACTTAGGTTGCTTCCATATCTTGGCTCTCATAAGTAGCGCTGATATGAACATTGGGATGCATGTGTATTTTCAAATTAGTGTTTTGTGGGGTTTTTTTGGATACATATCCAGAAGTAGAATTGGGGAATCATATTGTAATTCTATTTTTAGTTTTCTGAAGACCCTCCACACTGTTCTCCACAGCAGCTGCACCAAATTACATTCCCACCAACAGCGTACAAGGGCTCCCTTTCTCGGCATCCTTGCCAACATTTGCTTGTGTGTGTGTGTGTGTGTGTGTGTGATATCTTTTTGATGACAGCCCTTCTGACAAGTGTCAGGTGATAGCTCATTGTGGTTTTAATTTTCATACCCCTGATAGTTATCCAAATTGAGCAGCTTTTCATGTGCCTGTTGGCCACCTGCATGTCCTCTTTGGAGAAAAGTCTATTCAGATCTTCTGCCCATTTTTTTAATCTGGTTGGTTGGTTGGTTTTTTTTTGATATTCAATTGTATGAACTGCTTACATATTTTGGATATTAACCCTTTATCAGTCATATCATTTGCAAATATTTTCTCCCATTCAGAAGGCTGTCTTTTCATTTTGTCAGTGGTTCCCTTTGCTGTACAAAAGCTTTTAAATTTAATTAGGTCCCATTTGTTTATTTTTGCTTTTGTTTCCTTGGCCTTAGGAGACAGAGCCAAAAAAATATTGCTACAATTTATGTCAAAGAGTGTTCTGCCTATGTTTTCTTCTAGGAGTATTATGGTTTCTGGTCTTATATTTAGGTCTTTAATCCATTCTGAGTTTATTTTTGTATGTGGTGTGAGAAGAATGTTCTAATTTCTATTCTTTTATATGTAGCTGTCCAGTTTTCCCAGCACCGCTTAATGAAGAGACTGTCTTTTCCCCATTGTATATTATTGCCTCCTTTGTCATAGATCATAAATGCATGGGCCTATTTCTGGGATCTCATGTTTTTCACTTTTAAATTGGGTTAAACCATACATATATTGAAGTGTTTTCACATATCTGCACACCTTTGTAACCAACACTCAGATCAAAATATAGAACATTTCCAGCATCTCACAAAGGTCCTCTGTCCTCATTTCCAGTCAATTCACCCAAGGATAACCACTAGTCTTATTTTATCACCATGACTTTGAACTTCATATGAACTCATTCATACTATATCCTTGTGTATAACTTCTTTTACTCATTGTTATGTCTGTGAGTTTCAATCCATGTTGCTGCATGAATCCACGGTTCATTTTCATTGTTGTGTTATATTTTTATACCAAAAAAAAAAACCTACTAGGATATTGGGCTGTAGTTGCATTGAATCTATAGTGAACTGACTTCTTAAAAATATTGTCTTCCAATCCATAAATATATCTCTCCATTTATGAAGTCTTATTTAATTTCTCTCAATGTTTTAAAATAAATTTAATACATCTTTTGTTAATTTATTTCTGCATGTTTTACTGTTATTATAAATGGTATTTTAAAATTTCATTTTCCAATTGTTTGTTGCTAATATATAGAAAACAGGTTTTTTTGGCATATTGACCTTGTATCCACTGACCTTGCTAAATTTACTAATTTTCCTAATAATTTTTATTTCCTCTTAGACCTGAGAGACTGTTACTTAATTTCCAAGCAAACTTTTAAAAAACCTGTTCATGGTTGATTTCTAGCTATATTGGGCTACAGTTAAAGTTTCTGAATTATAGAATCTCTTGGTTTTTTTTCAATTTGTTATCATTTTCTTTACGACAATCTATAATTGATTTCTATGGACATACAGGATATATATATATTCTCTGTAGATTAGAAAGTTCTCTCTGTTAAATCAAGTTTACAAACTATATTAAACAATTCCTCTATGATTTGCTTTGTTTCTGCGTAATTAGTTAAATTTAGAAAATGAGTATCATTTATGCATTTGGCCATGTTTGGTACATAAACATCCATAACTCTTAGGTTGTTTTTATAAGTGATGTATAATTATGAATTTTAAGTATGAAAAATGTATACCTATTTTACAATATATATGTACAAGTACAATATTATGTGTTTTTATTAAATAGCAGCCCTTTTTCATTTTTTTCCCCCAACTATGTGAGAGGTTTTATCAGAAGAGAAGACAACTTTGTCTTTCCAGAATACAAACCCTCTAGCTTGCTTTACGAGGCAGACAGCAACCCCACACCGTGGACAGGCAGGGACCCGCACAGGCCTCCATCTTCGTCACTTTTCAGTGTATCTGTCCCGGGTTTAAATTTGATCTGACTGCAGTATCCCATTCCTGCTTTCTTTTTGTTTGTATTTGTATGATCTGTATCTATGCATCCCTTTGTTTTCAACTCTTCTTTAAAATTTTTAAATGCAAATAATTAATAGGTGGGTTTTTAACAACTCAGTCTGTTATCTTTGCTCTTTGTAAACAGCAGAATTGGGCTCTTTTGCAATTATTATTGAGCTGCGACATGTGTGCTCTATTCCACCCACCATTGTATACTTATTTTATATCTTACCGTTTGGTGGTTTTTTTTCTTCACATTGGCTTGGAAAAGTTTCTCTTTTCCCTTTTTGCCCTCCTGTTAATCTGGCCTTTCTAATGTTTCTCTCCATTCTGCTGGTGTTTCTTCTCTGTACCTAGCAGTTATGGTGAAACGTACATTGCTCCAGTAATACTCCAACACCGATCAATAAACATGCTTCTCAAGACATTTTACCCACTCACATCCCACCCCTTCACCTGGATGAAAATTTTAGAAATTGCAGTTTTAAAAAGGAACCCTTCTGCACTGTTTGTTGGTGGGAATGTAATTTGGTGCAGCCATGATGGAGGACAGTATGGAGGTTCCTTAAAATACTAAAAATAGACTTACCACGTGATCCAGCAATCCCACTCCTGGGCATATATCCAGAGAAAACTCTAATTCGAAAAGACAGATGCACCCCGGTGTTCACAGCAGCACTATTTGCAACAGCCAAGATATGGAAACAACCTAAATGTTCATCAACAGAAGAATGAATAAAGAAGATGTGGGAATACTACTTCAGCCATAAAAAAGAATAAAATAATGCCATTTGCAGCAACATGGATGGACATAGAGATCATCATACTAAGTGAAGTAAGTCAGACAGAGAAAGACAAATATCATATGATGTTGCTTATATATGGTATCCAAAAAAAACAAATTTTATTTACAAACCAGTAATAGACTCACGGACATAGAAAACAGACTGTAGTTACCAAGGGGGAAAGAGGGAGAGGGACAGACTAGGAGTTTGGCATTAACGGATATGCATCACTATATATAAAGCAGATAAACAACAAGGACCTATGTAGAGCACAGGGAACTGTATCAGCTTCTTGTAATGAGCTGTAATGGAAAAGAATCTGAAAAAAAGGATGCATGTATGTGTAGCTGAATCTCTTTGCTGTATACCTGAAACTAACATTGTAAACTGACTACACTTCAGTAAAAAATAAAATAAAAAAAAGAAATTGTGATTTACTTCCTCACTTTCCCACTGACCATCACACCCAACTCCTCTCAAGTACATCTTCTCCTCGAAGAGTCCTTACTGAACATTTACACCACGTGTTTCTTATCTCACTAGTATCATAACCACTGTCAGCTCCAAGCTGCTACTGAGTCGGACACTCAAAATGTTTGTTGAATGAATAAATTATCCATTAAGATATAACTACATTTATGGGGGGAGGGTATAGCTCAAGTGGTAGAATGCATGCTTGGCAAGCATGAGGTCCTGGGTTCAACCCCCAGGACCTCCTCTAAAAATCAATAAACCTAGTTACCTCACCCCAAAATAAAAACAAGGAGTTCAATAAAAGAGGTATAACTACATCTATTACGAGATTAACTGTACTCTCCTCTCCATCTACCCAACATGCAGGTCTCTTTTCTAGCATAATTGTTAACTGAGTAAAGAACTTGGAGTATTTTCCTCAGCCAGGATCCATCAGCAATATATGAATGCCCTTGAATGTCTGAAAGTGTCTTTTTTGCCCCCAAAATGAAAGTCATTTTGTCTGGGAATAGGATTCTTAGCTCTTAGTCTCAGTGTCTCTCTTCAGTTTGAAAATATTGTTCCACTGTCTTCCAGTTTTCAGGTAGCAAATGAGAGTTCAAATGCTAGTTTCTCTGCTTTCCTTTTTAAAAATAGCTTCTCCCTTCAGTGTGAAAACTTGTCCATTTTACCTTTTCCCATAGTGCTCAGGAAGTTGCCAGGATGTATGTCTGTGTGTATCATTTTTTATTATTCCTATCTGGGTGTCAATAAGATAGATGTTTGATAAAGGTTTATCAAGTCTGAAAAAGAAAAAAAGAGAAAACAAAATACACACCTATACATTAGAAATAAAAATATATAAGCACAGAAACAGAATGAACTCAAAGGCTTATTGCAGGATCTTAGACTCCTTCTCAGACCTTTAATTGGAAAGTATTCTCATCACCGCTGCTATTGGACCCTCTTAGTCGCGTCCCTGAGTTTGGGTAGGTTTTGTTAAGACTTGCTAAATCCTAACTTCTCTTTCATATGGGCTGTTTTCTGAACTAAAGTGTCATATGTAGGCAATGGGGAACCTATCCACTCCAATAACCAATCAGACTTGAGCAACTTCCCCTACCAAAAGTGGCGTTGAATTCTTCCTGGACTCAAAACCATAGAGACAGAGAGGAGAAGAGAGGTGACTAGAGGCTGAGGGAGGAGAGCGAGGCGGGGACTTATCATTTAATGGGGAGAGTTTCTGTCCAGAATGATGAAAAAGTTCTGGAAATGGATGGTGGTGATGGTTGCACAACACTGTGAATGTACTTAATGCCACTGAATTAGACACTTAAAAAGGACTAAAATGGTATCTTTTGTGTGCATTTTACCACAATAAAAAAAAAACTCTTCGTAGATTCTAGAGCACAGGTGAAAATGTAAAGTGAGAGGCTCCTCACAATTTGCACGGTGTGCAACACTACGACAGCAGATTCACAATACAAAAGCCCACCTGTGAAAATCAGAAGTGTGCATTTTCGTGCCTAGAGTGGCCAGATTCATGGAGACAGAAGGCAGAGTGGTGGTTCCAGGCAATGGGGAGTTACTGTCTAATGAGTACCAAGTTTCAGTTGGGAAGATGGAAAAAGTTACGGGGAGGGTTGCACAACAGTCTCAGTGAACTTAATGCCATGGAACTGTACACTTAAAATGGCAAAAATTTAAGGTGAATGTTATGTTATGTATATCTTACCATAATTAAAAAGAATTTAGAGGGGAGGTATAGCTCAGTGGCAGAGTGCATGCCTAGCATGCTCGAGGTCATGGGTTAGATCCCCAGCACCTCCATTAAATTAAAGACAACAATAATAACAAATACATAAATAAACCCAGTTACCCCTCCTAAAATTTTTAACTGGGCATTTTTGGTTCTAGCCTAGCCCCTAAAACCAACATGATGAGGTCTCTGGTGACTCAGGACGTGGGGAAATGGATGCAGTGTGTGATGTGCTGGCAGGAGGCCAGGCAACACTCAACAAAAATCCCTAGCAAATCCGCACAGCATTTTAAGGAGAGGGAATCTGAAAATAGCATAGTGGAGAGTAGCGTTTTTCTAAAGCCTAAGTCCCCGTGACTGCGGCCAGGATTGCTAGAAATGTAGAAGCGCAAGGGCGGACACGTGCTTTTCAGATACGATGGTGATTGATGGGACCTGGTTGTCTCCGCACCGGGGAGTTGCAGAATCCGCACTGGCCACCAGGGGGGCAGGGGTCCCGTGTCGCACAGGCCCGGCAGGAGCGGCCTGGAGGGGCGAGGTGAGCGCCCGCTGCTAAAGGCTTCATTGCAGCGGGCGTGAGACCTGCCGAATCTCCAGCCGCCGGCAACTAGGGAAAGACAGACGTCAGGGTGGACCCGCCTCGCTGTCCTCTCTCAGCTGGAGGAGGGGCACCCAAATTTCTCATCTCAAGACGTGGCATCTTGGTTCTTCAGGAAGGTCTTGACTGTTCTTGGCCCTCTGCACTTCCATATAAATTTTAGGGTTTTTTTGGGGGGGGCAGGGGTAGGTAATAGGTTGGTTGGTTTGTTTATGTTTATTTTTAATGGAGGGACTGGGGATTGAACCTAGGACCCCGTGCATGCTAAGCACACACTCTACCAGTGAGCTATATATACCGTGCCCCCTGCACTTCCATATAAATTTTAAATTCTTTTCAAGTCCCCGATAAAATTCTGTTATAATTTTGACTGCAGCTGCATTAAACCTGTAGATAAATTTGGAAAAAAACTGCTATCCATGTGCCAGGTACTGTTCGTGGCCCTGGGGATGTAACAATGAGCAAGACAGACAAGGGAGCTTCCCATCAAAATTCAAACAAAATTCACTTTCACCGCTTCCTGTAAACCAGCCCACAAAAGAACTTCCCCACCTCCAGCTGGTCTCCTACTAACCCCTCTCCTTCTGAACTCCAGCCATACCTTCCTTCATGTTCCTGGAACTCAACAATCATTCTCCCACTGGGTTTTTGGCCTAATCTGCCCCCTACTCTCTGCCCCTTATTTGCATGATAGGCTCCTTCACGCTAAGCAGATGTTTGCTCAAATAGTCACCTTTTCAGAGAGGCCATTCTGCTATCTAAAATAGCCCCAGCATCTGTCTCTAACCAGTACTTTACCCCACAGCACTCATCACCACCATTAAAGACGGGTTTGTTTTGGGTGTCTGCCTCCCTACTAGACACTAAGCTCCCTAAACCAGGAACTCCCCCTGTCTTGTTTACAGTTACGTCCTCAGGGCCTTGACCTATGCCTGGAACATAGTAAACACTCAGTAAATCTACTGAATGAATGAAAGAAGCAAGATCCGACAAATGATCAAGAGCCTTTTGAAAAACCCACGCACACTCTCAGTCGGTACACGTAGTTACAGCTATTCAAAGTTTTAGAAATATTTGGTCAGTGCTTATCAATTAAAAAAACAAAACAAAACAACTCCAAGCCAGCCACCGTCCCTGAAGATCTCCCAGGGAGAACGGTATTTAAGCACCTAGTGACTGTAGAGTCCTATTTACAAACGTATCATCCGTCATATTTCTATGTGACAGTCTGGGCAGACTGATTTTAATTAACTCCACTTTATCAATGTTTTCTTTTACCGATTATATTTGAGATGTCACAATTAAGTCTCTACCTAACGCAGGGTCACACAATATTTTTTTTTCCATTGAGAAGATGGATAGTTTTTTCGTGTTTAGGCTTATGTCCCACCTTGAGTTAATTTTTGTGTACAGTGTAAGACAGAGGTCTGAGTATTTCATTTTGATTTATTTATTTTGCTTATGGATTTCCAATCGCTCCATCACCATTCATTTAAAACCGACCTTTCCCCATTGAATGTCCTCGGTGCCTTTGGTGAAAATCAGTTGTTAGTAAGTGGGAAGATCTGTTTCTGGACTCTCTGCTATAGACCCTTATACCAGGGACACACTGTCTTAATTGCTGCATCTCTAGTTAGTTTGAAATCTGGCAAGTGTTCCAACTTTGTTGGAATAGCTTTAGGTCCTTTCTGTTCCCATATAAATTTTAGGACTAGCTTGTCAATTGCTATTTTTAAAAAGCCTGCTGAGATTTTAGCAGTGATTGCATTGAAACTGCAGGGGAGAACTGCCCTCTTCACAATGTTGGGTACTTCAACCCATAAACATGGTATATTTCTTCATCTGAACAAATTAACCAATCTTTTCCCTTTTATTCCAGCTTGTTTAGTGGCTGGTTATTGGGCCATACCTGTTTCTGTTTTCAGCCCTCAATTCAATAGATGTGTAATAATGAAAGTCTGGTTTTGTTATTAAAACACACACACACTCAAAACAGGTCAGAGCTTTCTTTTCCCTTGGAAACATCTTGTTTCTTAGCGCCTGGGGTTTCTCTGGAGACATTCTGGGGCCCTTTGTGGCCAGGCCTTGTTCTGTTCCCCGGGCCTTCCCTTGGAGTCCCGTGGACTCTCCTTGTCTACTCCGCATTCACTCAGTCAGTCCCCAAGGCGTTTTATGTCCTCAGTGTTGCGGACAGAGTGCTGTAAGCCCTACACTCGTCCATCACACCCTGTCTCCATCCATCTTACTTACTCACTTTCCTTCTGGGATGTACCCGGGACACGGAAGCAAGGCAGGGCCCCATGGGCCAGATGAGGGCTGAGGCTGCTGAAGTCAGAGCCAGATGTGTCTCCTTGGAGTCAGCGACCGACTCTGCCCCAAACAGACCACTGGTCCCTGCTGACGCCTGCCCTCCGGGGTCCAACGGCCGCAACCAGGTGGTGCCACAGCGCCCTCTACTGGAGCCCGACGCGGACCCGTTCGCGGGAGGAACCGGCCTGGGAGGGGGTCTTGGAGGGGGTCCGACAGTCAGCAGATGCTCTCTGAGCACCGGGGGCGAAGAATGAACGGGCAAGTGTGCAGGCAACGAAAGAATATTCGAGTGTAGAATGACAGCTCAGAGAGGGCCTCTCTGGGGAGGGGACTCCCGAGATGAAACCTGGATGATGAGGGGAAAAAGCAAGAGCAGTCCAAGCAGCAGGACTGGCACAAGCCGGAGACCAGCAGGCGCGAGGGCGGCGGATCTGAGGGGGAAGGGAGGCGGCCGCCGCAGGAGGAGAGGGGCTGACGGGGCGCAGCTGGGGGGCAAGCTAGCGGGAGGCACGCGTGGGCCTGTCCGCCGCAGTGAGCGCCCTGGATTTGATTCGGGGATAACAGGAAGCAGAGGAGGGACACGCAGGGAGTGGAGCACGTTGAGCTGCTGGAGCTTCCAGCAATGGAATGTGCCCAAGCCAGACGGCCCTGGGCTGGGCCTGGGGCTGGGAGGCCCGAATGCAAAAGAGGCATCAAGAAAAGCATCTACCCGGCTGGGGACTCCAACCACGGTGAGCCGGAGGAGCCTCCCCAATGGGGAGACCTCAGAGCCAAGGCAGCCCGGGTGGACATGGGGCTACACTGCAGCCAGGTGTCTTGAGCCAGGAGGTGTGGCACCTGCTGAAGCCAGCTCCAGGGTCTGCCCAGAGGTAACTCCCCACCCCCAACAGCTGGCGCTGAGCACATCTTTTGGTCCCCAGTGCTTCTCATGAGCTCCTTCTGTTACAGTGTTTGCCACACGGTGTTTGCGTCTTTGTTCACACGTTTTCTGTTTAACTGGATGATGAATACTGGCCTCTGCTGTGTGCTGGGGACACACATGACTGGCTTGGTGAGATATGTGGGTGGGGTGTAACAGAGGACAATCTCAAATACCTAAGGACATTTGGATTTACTCCAGGAGCAAGTCTTTGCTGTCACATCCTTAGCAAAGACTGCTCTTGAGACCTGGTAGTGATGGTGGATTGACCAGAGGGCACGTTTTCTGCTCAGAAACTTTTTCCTTTTTCCAAGTCACACCATCTGAGATTTTGGACAACTGGGCTGAAACTTCACTGAACATCTGGGTGCAAGTATGTCGGAATCAACGGCCAGCACAGGAGATAGCTGTAGTAAAATTCTTTTTCTTTCCAGCTGAGATCTTTTTTGTTCTTTTTTGGGGGGAGGTAATTTAGGTTTATTTAATGGAGGTACTGGAAATTGCACCCGGGGCCTTATGCGTACTAAGCAGACACTCTACCACTGAGCTATAACCTCCCCCTCCAGCTGAGATCTAATTGGCAAGTAACACTGTGTGAGTTTAAGATACATGATTATTTCAGATGATTAAATTAAGATGGTGTAAGATGTCTTTTCTTTGCAACTTTCAAGTATACAATGAGGTATTGTTAACTAAAGTCACCATGCTCTACACTAGATTCCCAGAACTTATTCACCTTATTGTAGTAAAATTCTTGATTCTCTCTCCTGGGGAGATGCAATGGAAGGTGCAATCCATCCATCACAGAGCATACTGTTTGTAAGAAACTGTACGAGACATTTCTCTCAGGAAAAATTCTACTTCTCTTGAATCAATCTGTGTCTTAGGGGCAGTATGGTATCTGTCTGATCATGTTTCCCTCTTTGCTGGGGCCACTTAGGTAGTTTAGCACTAAATCTGTAGCTTATTTTTAGTAATGGTAAAGGGCCACTGGAGAAAACCAGCCTTGGGATTAAGACTTTGCAGTCAGGCAACCTGGGCTGAAATCTCACTTCTGCCTCTTCTTAGCTGTGTGGCTGTCATCCACTTATCTACTTTTTCCAAGTATTTATAAAAAGGGCATAATCATATTATTTACTTTGGAAAGTTATTCTATTGTAAAGATTAAGGGATGCAATGCCAAGCACAGGGTCTGGCACAACCATCAGCATAAACGTGCTCACTGTCACTTTAAGGCAAGCAGTCGTGTGTGATAATTGCTCTTACCTTTGGTATTTTCTGGTGCCTAAGATACACACATACACACACACACACACAGACTTCATCTACTTCAGAACTATATAAATGGATTACTGTCATTATTTCATTGTTTTCTTGACTATACATACCCTACAGATGAGTGTCTTGGAAAACTTGCTGTGATAATTAAATCTGCATCTGGGAGGTTCTCCCTCCAGCACCATACAGCAAGGGAGCCTAACTTATACATCCGACAGGACTGGAAAGCACGGAAAAGACACATGCCCTGCCTGAGGCACTCATTACTTAGGTTGATCCCTGGTCACCACAGGTTCACTACCATCATCTTCTGATACAGCCTCTGACAAGATGTCTGCTTGGACTCAAAGGGCAGCACTTAATTCCAAAGTAATTAAGGAATCTGTGCTTTAGCTTCCGTTTGAAGTCAAGTAAATTCAAACAGAGGGGGTTTACTGGGGCAGCACTGTCTGGTATATTA